TATAACTCGAGTGTCGAAATGGGCTCTTGTCATCATTAAATACTCAACTGGTACCTATGAGGAAAGAAGGGATAGCTTGTGCAAGCTATCCATAATCCAAAATTGTCCTTGACAGAGAACATTCTCTTTGCCAGTTACAGGTGGTCAAATAGAATCAAGGCAGGCTAAGCTGCAATAGTCAAAATGAGCTATATAACTTGGCCCATTATGCCAAAGAGCATGTTGACGAGCCTGTGTCAGTTTTTTTGTAATAAAAAGAATTTTACATATTTTTATAATACAAAAAAAAACAAACTTAATTATATGAATATTTTCTAATTCTTTACTCATTAAGTAATACATTTTTTTGAATAAATTGAGAGAATTACTACATTTATATGTTTAAATTACTCAATTGTAACTAATAATTTCAACTTAATTTGTAAATATTTAAGATTTAAATTACAACTTCATTGTATATTTACATATTTAAACAATATAACACAAAAAATTCTAATCCTTTAAATTATAATTTATTTTAATTTTAATATATATATATATATATATATATATATATATATATATAAATAAATAAAGCATGCTAGTGGGCCAACCTACCCTGCATATGGCCTGTCAAGTTGGCAAACTAGACAGGATAGGCTAACGCAAGCTAAAAATGCCAAGCCCAACCCGCCAATTTGAGGTTGGGTGGCGACCAACTTGTTGGGCCTAGCTAGCACTGTCATCCTAACTGATAACTCTCTACATCGTAGTTGCTTCAAAAGTCTCAACAGCAACAATTTGGGAGGTGTCACATGGACGTCTGGGTCTACAAATGTTGTCATGTTGAAGTAGTTTTTGGTGATTTACTTCTTGTCGATGGTTGGAGAAAGGGTGAAAAGAATCTAATCATAGGATACAACTCCTTTTTCCTTGCAACAAGCCATAATGAGGGTTGGAAGCTTGCAGGTCTCATTCAATAATAAGAGCTATCTCTTTAATTATATGCACTGCTCCATGGATCGGCTGAACATGGTTTAGATTGATGTCCAAAGTATGGGTGTTGGGAGAGATGTTATTGAATGAAAAAACACTCCACACTTGAGAGCCAAAGAAGTCAAATGTTTGTGGAGGGTCCATACCCAACACAAAGGTGGTCATAAGAATAAACAATAGCCTTATAATTAGTTTGGGTGTGGAGGTCTAAGTGGGTTAGCAAACTCTATTGATTTTGTTTGCTTTGTTTCATTCTTTTTTTTGTGGTCATCCTTGGGCAATAGATTTTCACACAATGAAATTGCTAAAGGCTTGTTTAATTGCTCTAATAAAAGAGGTGAAGATAATTGACTAAAGGCATTCAAGTTGCAAAAAGAACGAGAACAATGGTATAATTTGAAATTTACACATAATGCACAATTGCTATCTCTTTGATGGTGATTAAACTTGAATACCTAGAAAAACAATGATTTTTGGAAGTCGGACCATATTACAACCCTTCAAAGACCTTGGTGACATGTTGATTATGTATATATGGTTTGATTGAAAAAGACTAGCAAAGTTGACCAGTATAATTCAATCCCAATTAATGAGAGAAACACTCACCTTGTGAGAAGTGATTACTCAAACACTTGAGAGTTGTCCATTGGGTAAGATTATTCATTGTTTTCTTTCATTTTATTTGTTGTAATAAAATGCATATGTATTCTTCTGTTACTTGAAATTGGATGCCATTACTGCTGATCACAAACATTTCATTGAAAAGAAATAAAAAAGTTGTGGGTCATCAAGCAAGTTTGGAGTTGATTTTGATCCAACCAATGTTTTTGGATATTTTGAAAGGGTTTTCTTTTTGAAGCCTATATTTTGTTTGAGGGCAAATAATATTTTATGTTAGGGGAATTGATAAGTGCCAAATTTACTTGTAAATATTCGTTTTTAAGGTACTTATTTGATCTAGACATAGATAAAATATATGTAAAAACTACTAGATAACGAAATCCATGAAATATTTTAACTTTTTTAAAAAGTTAACAAATCCTTTGATGAGGTGTACATATTTGAATGTAGATGAGAAGAAATTGATCAAGAGGACAAACTCTAGAGGCAACTTGCCGAGGGAGAAGCCAATTGGCCCAGTGAATAAAGCAAATCTCACGTTGGATTTTGTGACAACAATCGTCGAGCAAAATAGAAATAGATGAGTGGATTTGAGGCAAAAGGGCAAATCGAGAAATGCTAATTCGCCAAGTGGATTTGTGAATCACCTATTCTAGTAGGCAACGCCTATTCTAACAGGCATATGTGGAAAAGGTATTGGAAAATCACACATCCACTTCATTTATTGGAGTACAATATATATATATATATATATATATATATATATATATATATATATATATATATATATATATATATATATATATATATATATATATATTGGACAATCCCACTTAATGTCAATTGGTTTTAAGATAAAAACTAACAATGAAATCATTCATTAAAACAATTATTGGGACTGTACATAAAAAGAACAAGACATACCTACCTAACACAGTGTGCCTCATCAACAACAAAACCTGCAAGCTGTCCCTGTGATTTAAGAGGGAACACCAACCATTATAAAGTTCAGAATCTACTGCTCTACCACAGGTTTTCAAAAAATGCACTCAAATCAAGAAAACTTTACCTTACGATGCATGCATTTTAAAATCTCCAGAAACGATTGGTTGCCAGCAATTCTCTCAGGTGTCACATATAAAAGTTTGCATGATGGTTTGTCTTTTCTGGATACAAGAAGAGTAATGTATGAATATTTTAATCATTAACATAATCAGTAACATGCACGATTTTCTCAAAAGATATATAATTAGTGAATAACTAGCTACACTATTCCTATGGGTAAATTATCAGATAGAACAAGATAGATAAGAATAGACAAAGAAGTGAATTTCACCTTAGCTCTTGGAGCACAGCTGTCGCCTGGGAAGCAGTTTGTTGAGAATTTAAGAAAGTAGCAGGTATTCCAAACTTGAGGTTTAGTGTTATTATCTGATCCTGAATGAGTGAAAGTAATGGAGATACAACAACTGTAACACCTGGTTGAAGAGTGGCTGGAAGCTGTAAGCACAAAATACGGCAAAATTGTTCAGAAGCACATAAATTAAAAGGTGACAGATAATAGTATTTCAACAATCAAATGGAGTCTCTAGGTACAAATCAAAGTTTGGAACAGCCCTTTAATAATGAAAAAAAGAGGGACAGTCAAGGCACACAATCACTTGACACATTCTAGATTTTTAACACGTCTGAGCCAATAGTCCTTCAGAATAATGTAACCGTCATTCATATTACATGATTTGAAGCATATGGCCAAAAAATAAACTTAAAAAAAATGTTTTACAAGAAAGAACTGACCTGATAACAAAGAGATTTACCACCCCCAGTAGGCATAAGAATAAAAGAATCTTGCTTTGCCAAAGCTACTTTACATGCCTGATGCTGCAATGGTCGAAATGTCCTATTACCGAAGATAACAACATTGGCCAATTCAATATCATCTAATTCTCGCAATTCTTCATAAGTGAGAGTACTGCTTTTACCCCTTGATGCAAAGGAGAATTGCATTTTGCTGGAAGTTGATGAAACGGAGCCTTGAGTGATGCCACTTTTGTAATCCTACAACAAATATAAATTATTTCGGTATAATCTCTCATGATGGCATCAGTCTTTTCTACCAGAAAATGTAGTTAAGAAAAAGAAAATATAATAAAACTAAGAAATAGAAAACTTTACCCACTAAGAAAGTCTCATTTATTTTTTTATCAGTGCCATATAGGATTTGAGTTACATGTTTTCCTATTCTCCTAATTTCATTTTATCCAGACAGTTTAACAATCTTTGTGCGTGATTTTGGCTTTTGAAAAAGCCCAACATCTAAACATTAGAGTCCATATGCAGATCCACAATAACTTTCTGTCCATTTAAATGCATTTTCCTCACTTACAAAAGCAAGGTATAGTTTTAATCTTGTTCGCAAAGGTTTGAATTGATCAGTATCACATGTACACTTTATTATGATATGGTTTTAGCAAAAGCTCACTTATCATTACTCTCCAGTTTTTTTTTTTTTATTTCCTCAGCATCTGTCTTCCTTCCCTATCCACTATATTTGTTTAATTCACTGTTATGCCTGTTCACATCCGAATCTCACATATCCAGCAGTCTATTGAACTGTAAGTCAAACATTACAACATACATTGCTTTTAATGTATTTTCCGATAGGCTCTTACACTTGAAAAGTAAATAGTAAACAATCGAAGAAATTTTAGACACAGTCAATTTGTAAATACTTGAGCAAATAAACTAAAAAACTAATGATGAAATAAAATCATTGTGTTACCAGAGATTTTCCCCTCGGAACACTACAGTGCATATCCTCATCGTCACTCGAATCCAACTCCACAACATTAGCGAGGCGTTTGCGTTTCAGCTGTTGAGGCGAGTCGTCAACAACATTAATGAAGCTTCTCGAAGCGTTGTCGTTGTCGTTATCCGCATCGGCACCCGGGGCAACGGCTTTGTCGAGCACGTGCGTCAAGGTTCCGCACGCTTGCGATTCCATTTCCTGCAGGTCATCCCAATCCTCGGTGGCTTGCATCGACTCCGCTAGAGTCGCGAGAAAATCGTCGCCACAGTACTCGACAGTGATGAAATCGCGACCGTCTTCGCCTGAACAGGAAAAAAAAAAAACGAAGCAAAAACAGTTAATAGCGTTGCATTGCATTGCACTGAAATGTATTACATGAGATTTGAAAGCAAAGCGAATGGGGGAAGTGTGGATAGCGTACGTACCGTAGAGAGCGATGAGACGGTCGAGGCATTTGTTAGCGGCGGATTCGTCGAAGCCGAAATCGAGGGCTAAACTGATTAAGCGAACTTTCTCCAACTCCAGATCTTGCTTCTTCTCCCTGCTACTGCTTCCCATTTCGATGCCCGCGCTTTTTTTCTTCTTTCAATTCTATTTAGCCCTCTCGCGTGCCTCTCTTCTGCTCCCAGGTATGGTGGAGACGCGCACTTTGCTCTTTCTTAAACAGTTAAACGAAGTCGTATTGTTATTATATTTATGGCAATTTCCTAATGACCTTGGATCACCATCATTTTAAATAATTTTGTTAATAATGTGTCAAGAGAATATAAAATGAAAAAAATAAATATATTTACCTCTTATATTCATATTTGGTCGTTGAAAACATCAATTTAATGCGAAGAAAAATATAATTTAACAAATGAACCATTTTGGTAGATGGCACGTTGAATTTGAAAGGGATGAAAATGATCCGATTTTACAAAATGAAACGAATCAAAGGAAGAAAGAAAGAAATACAATCACGCGTCTCTCTTTCCGTATCTACATGACATCCTAGAAAGAGAGAAACATGCAAAGAAAGAATCTGATTTCCCCAGACCTAAATCAAAGCAAAGATGTATGCAAAGAAAAGTCTGAAAAAGCGCATGTACAGAATTGGAAGCAGGAGGAAGAGGTCCTCTCATGTGTATACTACATTACAAATTTACACTCATTATTGGGGATCAACTTCCTGCACGCAAGCTTAAAGGTGCGTAGTCCTTCCTTAAAAGAGGACCTGGCCTTGCCTTCAGCTTCGTAAAGCTTGTATTTTGCCAATCTGCGCTTTCTCTTAGCCTCTTGATCATTCCAGGATGAATGTGATATGCTCCCACTACGTTTTCCTTCTTTCCCTGCATTCGATACCTCGTAATGATATCGATAAGAGGATGCTGTCACCCTGTTTTGTTCTAGCCTCATTTGGTTCTCTTGTATGGCTCTCACTCTCATATCGTGTAGTTGCATCTCTCTCGTCACTGCATTATTCATTGATGGAGGCTGCGTGATCAATGCCATGATCTCGAGTCTCGCAACAGTTTAATGACAGATAGAGAGAACGAGAGGATATTGGAATTCAAGAGACTTGAAATGCTAGGATTTTCGTTTTATATATTTGAATTTATTTTATGGTAAAGAAGAAAGGAGAGGTCAAAGACCAATGGAGCAAGTCAAGAGTGGAAGGGACCACTCTGAATTCAACCAAGTTCGTCGTACTCAGCTATTTATAATATAACTTTCCTTAAAATAAACTACGTATATATATATATATATATTAGTTTTAGGGTCCTTATTTTGGGCATCGCCCTCGAATACCCGAAATTGATGTTAGTAAATATAACCGCTACAAAATAGAAAATTATTGTTTTGGATAAAAATATACTTCCATAAATTTATCTAAACCTGAACAAATGTGATTTGTGGATTCTTTTTAGTAACAACGTTTCAATTTAAAATATGATTTAGCACTTCAAAATTAATTACGTAGAAAAATTAACTTCAGTATAACACTCATTATTGAAATTTATTATATAAACGTTTTATGTTCATAAAAACTTCATTGTCATAATTGAAGGCATATAAAAACAGTTACATATTTTCATTAGAAAAAAATATACATTGATAACCTTATTTAAAAAAATCATTAAACAACCTAATATAAAATAATAATATTTGTTATAATAGATTGTTTAACATATATTTATAAAAAATGTTTTATTCAAAACTTTTTTATTATTATTATTATTATTATTATTATTATTATATTTTTAATATACTTTTTATCCTAGATACAGATACATAACTATTGGATTTTAATAGAATTGATTTTACTAAAATTGATCACATTAATATCAAAGGTAAATCAATACTTTTTTTTTCCATAAACATTTTTCATGAAACCAATTTTGAAGAATAAAATATTAAACATGAACTTTAAGGATCAATAATATTTTATAAAATTATATGACTTTTTTTAAAGAAATATTTTTGTTAACAAGAGTGTCTCGTTTCATATGTATTATGATAGTAGTATTAGGGTTTATTACTATATATAGTATTATATGTTTTAAAACTTTAATTCATTACAATTTTATTGATGGACTGAGAGATAATGGTGTGTACATCCTTGACTTTAACTCTTAAACAATATGAGACTATGAGTGTACCAAAACATAACCCCTTAATCAAGAACTAGGGTAAAAGTGAAACAAGACTATATTATTGGACAATTTTCTTGTAGTTTCCCAATACATACTATGGTTCTACTTTCAAACTTTTGGTGTAGCACTTTTAGGCTTCTTTGGGCTTCTATATTGAAGGTGATTAGCAAATTGATGTATCCTTTTGTATGTATTAGTTCTACGACAAAACCAAGCAATAAGTTCACGTATAGAGGTATCAAATCTTATGTCAACCTAAACTTGAGAAACATTGATAACACATATTTTGTAATAAATTGGGTTTAATGTACATATTTGATTTAATTTTTTATTTTTAGTTAATCGGATCTTGGTTCACTATTTTGGTCATAACTTGTTTGTAAATATTATTTTTGGTTGATTCATGTTGCATTGGATTCTAGATGTTTAAGGCTTTCAAATGAATATATGGTTTGTTAGATTTGAAGTTCGTGTTATTTTCTATGATTTTTAAAAGTTGAGACAGATTTCCTGAAGTTTTGTAAAGAACTTATGCGGAATTTTTCTTTGTATTAACTTATTTGTTGTAATTGATCTTATGAATCTAATTAGAGCTCACATTTAGTTTCATGTTTGATTCAGATTTGAGAGCATATAAATAGCCTAAATGTGCTTTAAACTAATCCAAAAATAAATTCATTAGTGTTGTAACTTCAAAATTATCTTTATATCTTTTTTTTTTCTATCATTTTCATTTTGACTCTTCCTATTTTTCTCCTTTACATCATACCTAAACTGTTCTTGTGTTCCTCATTCATGGAGAACTAAATTTTAAGGATTAATTCATGAAATTAAGATCAAATAAGTCGAATAGAACTTTCGACCAATCGTTTCTCATTCTGAGTTTTTTTTATTTCTTTAATTTCAATTTTTCAACTTGGGATATCAATTTGTAATTATGCTTTTATAAATCAAATTAATAATTGATTTAATCTTGAATTGATAATTAGATACGAATTAGATTGAATAATATTGAGATTTAATTCGTATAATTGGTTTAATTGGTTAATTTTTCAAACTTGAATTAAAAAATTTAGATAAATATATTTAAAGGGTATTTTATCGTGGATTAATCAATTTCTATCTTTTCTATTTTTGTTTTGTTTCTCAATTCTTGTTTTATATTTTTAAACCCCCAAATTTAACTTCTACAAAAAGAAATTTGAAAATTGAATATATTTCAACATATGTCAGTTGAGAATAATGATTTAGGTTTGTGTTTTACATTACAAAATTTTTAAAGCAAATTTAGAATATTTAATTTCATGAGCAAAAATCAAACATCAACCAATATCATACATCAAGAGAACTCCCCTGATCGATCAAGGTTTTCTTAACCTCACAATTGGTCATGGTGATTGTAATAACGACTAAATCATCTTAAGTCAGATCATACTTGTCATAATCTTCTTTTGAGAACATGATTGTGGGGGAGTTTGACACTAGAATTATTTTCCACAATGATATATCGCACATAAGTGCATTTTGCTGGTCAAGTAAGTGGACCCTCCTCCTACAAATCCTTCAATGATTATGTTGATCACTCTTCTTGCTTATGAGGCAACATTTGGCTAACTAGGTTGTGTTGGTATTTTGTTGTTTTGCTCATTTTGCTGTGATGCAAGGTGTCCTCGCCCATGTCCCCATTAGCCATGTTCTTATCCCTATTATCCTTCATGACCATGTCTATTATTCTATAGGATGTATTGTGTTAATTGTTGGGTTGAATCAATTTCTCTATTATGTCCTACAAATTTGAGTAATTTTTTGTATTGTGACCATAGGTCTTGTTATAGATGCACCTTTTAGCTCTATTCGCATTGGGTACCATGAAAGATTGCAGAGGGAGTGTCATCAGCTTTGAGTTGCATGCCTTTAGTAGGATGGCCTCACTAAAGGCATTCATCAGTGTATAATTGTCATATCTATGCATTTATTAGCTTGATTTTTTTTTCTACCACCTGTTCTGACACTTCTTCTTTTCTCTCTCAGCTTGGCATTTTCCTCTAGTTAAATGTAGTTTAATGTCGAGTCCTTAGTTTATTCATGTCTTTTGACCTATTTAGATACAAATTCTCTAAGAATGCCCTTGTGTGCAACATAGTCATCATGGTGTGATCGCTATAACGAGCATTAAATCTAGTATTGTAATGCTAATAATGACAAATCTCTCTAAGAACTTACGCAATACTTTTTTTTCCATATATGATATTCTCAAAAGTTGCCAAATCAGTTGTATGAGGTCGACTTATTACAAATTGGACTCTAAGTTTATTTGTTAAATCATCAAAAGAACCTATCGACCTCTTATCATAATATTATTAGATGACGACTCTTTTAAGCATAGTTGAGAATATTCTATATCTAAAGAAATTATGAGTGAGGTATGTTTGCATATGCTCTTTGAGATTCAATGTCCTACTATAGGAGTAAATAAGAGTGTTTGTGATGTGGTTTGGTTCGATTTTTTCAGTAAAAAGTTGCTCAAACCAAACATAAAATTTAAATGTGAATTTGGTTTGATTTGAAATTTATTTTTTAAAAAATTAACCAAATCAAACCAAACTAATATTTTGCGGTTTAATTTGAATAATTTTTATAGTTTATTTTATTATAAATTTACTAAATAATATTATAATAAAATAATTATTCAATAAAAAATATATTATAAAAAATATTGCATAATTAATTGTAATATTTATAGATTCAATTTGTTTTATATGTTTTATTTTTAGCTGTATATATTATAATTTTTAGTTTGATTTTGGTTGGTAACCAATTGGTTCTAAAGTTTTTTAATACAAAACATCTAAAAAAATCAAATTTAATTGGTTTTCGGATTTATTTTTAGATTGATACGGTTTTGAAGGAGTTAATAAGAGGTGTTCTCTGCAGGTTGTGCATGTGGATATGTGTGTGCCTACGTGGTTATCCAAGTGTACATTTTGGACGTGAACATTTTTTTTAAGTTCTCACGTTTTTTTTGTGGTGTTTGTTTATTCACGCTCGAGATGCGAGTGAGATTCTATAGTTGTCGTTATTCTTGACTCGTTTGTAGATTGCCTATTTTGATCATATGTAAACGATTTCTTTAAACTACTCACACAAGGTCTTCAGTTTTTCCTAGTATCATCTTGGATCTTGGTTGGCCTTCTCATGGATTGTCGTGAGAGTGACATGTAAATTAATTTGTAATTTTCTTACATTACTAATTTTTTTTAGAAAACTATTTTATATGATTTTTAGATTCTTAATTCTCACACAATAACATGCACAAATCATTATAAGGAGATTAACATTGTTTCATGATAATACGTTATTCAGTCTCTTTGTTCTCCATCCAGTTAGTTACCATAAAATTTTTATTTTATTTTATCTTTATTTTTATTATAATTGTCCATAATAATCAATTGGTCTTTATATTTTATTAAATCATATTTGGGCATATAGTTATATTTCACATGAGTCACATAATATAATTAATTTATTAATTAATTCTAACATTCTCTCACTTGACTTATGTGATGTCATATCATTCCGAGATTTAATACTTAAATCATAATGCTCATTAAATGACCTTACATAAATTAGTTCTATTATTACTCATAATTAAATATACAACAATAACAAGAGTTATGGCGGTTACATGTTATTCAATCGTCATGCTCCCTTCTATGTACTACTACTATATTATGTTTTTCTCCTTAATATGACTTTACCATGAGATGTCCATAATAGGTTCAAACATAGTATCACTTTTAATAATAATATCATAATTTTTTTTCTTCATCATAATTTGTATGCACATAAATAAAAAAG